CCTGCCCTGCATGGGGGCCATCATTCCTGGGGACATTTCATTTGTCACCAGGGCCTGAGCTCCTGACACTGAGCACAGCAAAAAGTTTACCCAGAGAGAGTAAATAAAGAAATACACGATGCTGTGGGAAAGACATGGAATTGAGGCATTTTCCCAACGGGAGCAACTCCGCACGCCTGTGAATGCGTAAAGTGCCCAGGTACAGGAGGTAACTAAAAGCTTCTCAGAGCTTATTAAAAAATTATGGAGAGCCAAGCCTGGCTCCAAGAGGGTCCCACATCTCCAGGGTGGGGGCATGGCCTCACTCCAGGCACTTCTAATTCAGTTGGAGCTGGACACAGGAAACCTGCTCATAGTGTAGGTTCCTGCTGAAATGGAGCATTTTGGGTTTGCTTTCCAGGAACTGCATTTTCCCATGGAGGAACCATCCAAGTAGGTGATATCTGAAAAGTTTTCCTTGTCTGCTTTCATAATAAGAGGCAGTAGGAAACAGCAAAAAATAATCACAGAATCACAGAATGATCTGTGTTGAAAGGGACCTTAAAGCTCTCGTTCCAACCCACTGCCATGGGCAGGGACACCTTCCCATAGGCTGAAGGAAATGGAAGGAAAATGACAAATGAAAGTCTCCAAGTGCTGAACTCTACAAGATGTGTGTCCCTTTACTTGTCTCTGCTTATCAGGAAACAGAAATATTTTTATTTCTGCATTGCTAATTGCCAGCTTCTGGAAATACCATCTCTTAACATTCAATATATATAAAATAAATACAGAAATATGCTCCTAGAATCCTACTGCAAGAACAAATGGGACACTGTCAGGGATTTTCAGGGTGTTCACCACTTCACACGTGTGAAATCAACAGGGACCATGTTGGGAGGGGGCTGTGACTTCTTCCAGCCACCTTCTCCCATCCCCTCTCCCCCTGCGTCACCAGCCAGTGCTGGGCACGAACAGAAGGTTCATTCTGCCACCAATAGGCAGCACAGCAATGCTGAGCTCCACCAATGCCAATTTATGGTTTTTTTTTAAAAAAAACAATGAATGCTCTGATTTAACAGGGATAAGAAACACGGGTTTCCTTCCAAAGTCCCCCCAGAATGAAAGGTTTAGGGCTGCAAAGCCCTGTGGAATCCCCACACCACCCCTCTCTCAAAGCACCCACAGCAGCTCACGTGCCATCAGCAAATATTGAGAGTTATTTTGTTATGTTTGACATTTTTAACTGAGTCCCTATTTTCATGACTTTGTTACCAGCCCCTGGAATCCTCATTAAACATCCAACAGCCTCAAACATCTCCCCAAGCATCAAATCAGCCTCTCATCAAATTTATTCCTCCTTTTACTTTCCAAAAATTCTACTGCTCAGAGCACTAAAACACTGAGAAACTGCACAGAGAATAAACCATTTAAACATTCTCCATAGTCTTACAGAAACTGTAGAAACCCAGAGGGGATTGGAAACCTTTCCAGTCTTTCCCCCTCCAAAATCAGCAGCCACTCAAACACGTCACTGCTTCAGCCCCTGTCACAGGGAACTAAGCTGTGTTTTCAACATTTGCAGGGATTTCCTTCTACTGCCACAAAAATTTTTTTTTTGTCAAATTAAAATGTATTTCTTTTCAAACACACATATATTTTCTAATATATCAAGTGATTTTACTTACTGCTTCTATAATAACAAGAACTCTCCTGTTCTGTGGGGAGAAAAGTAGAATTATTCCATGAACTTTAATGTTGTTTGTAATAGTTCTAGACCAGAAGAGCCCCTTTTTTCCCCATAATTTCCCCCCAATCTCCCTTTGCCAGCTGCCACAGATCCCCAGCACTCACATCCCTTCTTCTCCAGCAGGGAGGCTGGGATGCAACACTGGCATCACAGAATCCTAGAATAGTTTGGGTTGGAAGGGACCTTAAAGTTCATCTCATTCCATGCCCAGCCATGTGCAGGGACACCTTCCACTGAACCAGATTGCTCCAAATCCCATCCAACCTGGCCTTGAACACTTCCAGGGATGAGGCAGCCACAGCTCCTCTGGGATGCAGAGCCACAGCCCAGAGGGAGCACAGCTGTCCATGCACAGGGGCTCAGCCTGGCAGGAGCTGCCTCATCCTTCCACACACCAGGAGCTGTCCCAGTTCTTCCTTCAGCTCTTAAAAGTCCAAATTTTCCTAAGCATGTCCCAAACATCCCTTCTTGGCAGGGGGCTGTGGGCTGTGCTTGCAGAGCAGACACTCTGACAGACAACAGCAGCCTGAGAGCACAGAAAGGAGTTCAGGAAACTTCAGCCTGGTTCCTAAACTCCCATTAATGGTTCTAGAACAGTGCCCAGGCTGTGAAGAGTGACATCACTGTTCCAGCAGCCCCCTGTGTGCCAGGCACACCACCAACCACACCCTGGATCCGGGTAAAGCCATGTGCCTCTGCATCCAGCCTCACCTGCCTCTGGAATAACACGTTACAGAGTGACTGAGAATCCACTGAGTGGATCAGGATTCGATGGCACACAGACTAAAATCTCACCTTGCTCCGAACCCTGTCAGTGTTGGCACTGGGTCTGCGCTCAGTGGGTCCAAGCCCAAGTGTTCTATTCCCAAAAGATGGCATCCAGGGAACACTGAGTACTTGTTCTGCATTGTAGGAGAGGATCTGGGAAGGATCTGACAGATCAGCCTCATCACTGGTTTGGATTCCTCTGGCAGAGCACAGAGGTTGTTACCCATGCTTGGGCAGTCTTGGGGAAGCCTCAGTTTTCCAGTCATTCAGCCCCCAAAGCTGGGCTGTCAGGGGTTTGTGAGCCCCCAAAGCTGGGCTGTTGGAGGCTTCAGCAGCCCCCAAATCCATCTTTTGTCTCAGCTGAGAGCCAGGAAAGTGTCCTGGCAGTTACAACTGATCCTATACAGCAGGCTCACTGTGGCTTTACCAGCCATTACTGACGAGCTCTTCCTCTGGCTCCAGTAGAAGCTGGAGGGATTGATGATAATCCAAATTGTTTTTTCAGGAGGATGACACAGACTAATAGATCACAGAAAATCCTGAAGCTGAGGCCCAACCCTGAGGACATCCCCAAGGACACTTTGGAGGTATAAAGGTGCCCCAGAACAACCACCCAGAAAATCTCTATTGACAATTATCCCAAGAGTTCAGTTCCTTCACATCTACATCTTGGGGATGGAAACTTGGAAGAACCACCTCCAGGAGTCAGTCTCTAATTTAATTCTAAGCCTTGTAATCATGCTGCCAGTTTGCTGCAGGGGTTGGGATTAGATGACCTTTGAAAGGTCCCCTTCAACCCAATCCATTCTGTGACTCTTCTAAGATTATAATGTTTGTTTTTTCCCTTCAGCATTTGTTTTACATTCCAAGTAATTCCAGAATAACCAACCAACACCAAGGAGTCCCATTCCATGCCCACAGGCATGCTTGTTGCCAAACCAAATACACTGGAATTCGTAGCACCCAGCACCCAAACTGCAACGTTTTGGGTCTTTTTGAAGAGTTCTTCTCATGAGGTGGCACAGGCAGGTGTGGACCCCAGCAAGCATGTCCAGCCTCTGGGGAGAGAACTTTGATGGGAGCAGGGACCAAGCATCGCGTTTCCGAGCACGGTCAGAGCTCAGCTCTTCGCACTCCTCCTTTTCACTCCTCAGTGCTGTGTCAAACCTTGCCATGGCCACACTCTCCTGCTCAGGCTTCTGATCGTGGCCAGCAGAAAATACTCCTGATTAAACCCAAGCATGGCACCAGGCTGAGAAGAGAATATTCGTTACAGCACTGCAAGGAAGAGAGGAACTGGGGACAGCAGGGAGGGAGGAAAAGCCCCAAAGCTTGGTTCTTCCTCTGCAGAGAACCCTCAAAGCCTAAAATGGTTTGGGTTGGAAGGGACCTCAAAACTCATCTTGTTCCCATCCTGCCATGGGCAGGGACACCTTCCACTAGCCCAGGGTGCTCCAAGCCCTGTCCAACCTGGCCTTGGACACTTCCAGGGATCCAGAGGCAGCCACAGCTTCTCTGGGCAACCTGTGCCAGGGCCTCCCCACCCTCCCAGGAAAGAATTTCTTCCTCATAACCAATCTAAATCTAGTTTAAAACCATTCCCCCTCACAGAATCACAGGATGAATTAGAGGATCCCATTCAGTGGTTCACCCCAGAGGAGCTCAGGGACCCTTGGCAGCTCCAAACTGTTGAGCAAGCAGCAAACCCGTGTGTACCCCCAAAACAGAGTAGGTCTTCACAGGAGAAATTATCCAAAAACAGGTGGGGAGTGGCCCCAGCTTCCACTCCTGAGATTTAATCCTGATACTAAATCTTATATTTAACCTGAATATTAATAGAATATTTATAAAATGCTTATCTGGAGTCAGAGGCCCCTTGGCTCCCTGCAGCTGTGGAGGAGCCCGAGGATCTGCAGGAGCAGCAAAGAGGGTTGGAACAACTGATGAAGGAGGCCCACCTAGACCTCAGGAGACCCTGCAAGGGATTTCCCTGGAGAAAAATCACCTTTTGAACTTGGGAATAAAAGTCTCAGGTGAGGACAAAATGCTTTGTTTCTGTGATCACTGGAATAGTGGCTCATCCCCAGAGAAGTGACAACCCTGTCCCTGTACCCAGCATGTTGGATGTGGGACCAGATGGCAAGGAGGTGTGCAAGAGGAAAACAACCAAAAAAACAAAAAGAAAGGTACAGCACTTGGCTGGACTTCCCTTCGAGCAGAGAAGCCTGCAGCAATTCAGCCTTTACCACTTACCCAGTCCCTGCTCCTGTGCAGGTGATCCATTCCATTTCCTCAGACAAGGGCAGGGCAGGAGGCATCCCAGAGAAGCAAAAAATTAACATAAATACATATATTTTGGCCCTGGGGCTTCAAAACTCTGAATTAACCAAGTGTTTGAATGATCCTGGAGCTTCAGCAATACAAGTACCTCCACCTGCACTCTCCTCCCTCCCACTGGCGGGCAGAAGGGGCCGAGGTGGAAAGGAAATAGGGAACAACGGCATCAAAATAAGATTTATTACTCAGAACCAAGATTTGGAAGAGACAGACATGGCAGATAACAACGAAACAGAACACCAGGCTCCAGCTGTGAGGAAGGGGGGTGCCAAGGGGCTGATGGGCAGGTGGAAGTTCCTATGGCTCTGGGATCAAAAGCAAGAGTGAGAGGGTGAGAACAGCCTGGGCTGGGGCTGCCGAGGCAGCAGGGGAGGCCTGTGGGTGCACAGAGTTTGGGGCCCAGATGTAACCGCAGGAGCAGCACTTTCCCACTCCTTAGGACCGTGCTAACCCAGCTTTCTTAAAAAGAGGTGAGCAGTCCTTTGATAAATGATCACCTGTGAGATTATTGCTTCAAACTACTCTGTCCATCCCCTCGACCCAAAGTCAGTGAAACCCACCACCAGTGAACCCAGAGAAAGAAACCCCTACTGCTCATTTTAGCTCATTGAAGGCACTTTAGAGTCTTAAAAATGGCTCCAATTACCCACTGGTCTGTGGAAGGATTTTAGTCTTACAGTTAAAATCAGCAGTGACTCGAAACTGTATTTAAGTCCGGCAAGAAAAAGTGGCTGGTCTGTGAGAAAAAGAAAGAGGTAAAAAGGGAAGTGACGAGCACAGACTGACTCTCCAGTGCAGGATCTGGAGGGTTTTTTACTTGATTTAAGTGGATTTAAAATAGAGTCTCATCTCTACAAAAGAATGGTGAGACATTTAAATGGAACTGGAATTGCCTTCCTTGTATGTGTGCCTGGCTTATTGCTTGGAAAATTGCTTAAATGACAATTAATTGTGTGAAACAAAAAGCATTTGAAGGAGTGCCTCCTCCTCTTCCTCCTCCTCCCTCTTCTCCATCTGCTGCTCATGGAAACCTGGCTCACAACAGAAGGGAACAATTTGGAACAAAATCCTTTTCCCCCAAAATAATTCTCCTTTATTTTTTTTTTTTTTTGCATAACATTTTTTTTTGTATTTCCAACTATAAATAAAAAAAATGATTAGAAAGAAGTTACAAAATTGCGTCGAATGGACCAGAACAGCACAGAATTCCTCACACATGATAAATCACTTCCCATCTTCCTCTTCCTCCTCCTTAGCCGCGGCGGGGCCTCGCGCTTGGCACTGCAGCTGCGGGGGCCACGTGTCAGTCGCCGACGGTCTCATTTTCAGAATCTAAAAGAAAAAAATCCATATATGGATTTCACATCCAGGAAAACCCAAACCAAACCCAAAAAAGGGCCACGCAAGCTCATGGGCCCCAAGTGTGTGGAGGTGCTGCTGCCAGAGCACGCTACAGGTACCGCAAGGAAACAGAGAAACAGAGACCGAGATCTGTCATGCTGAGAGCTCAGAATGTGGGAATCGGGAAAAAAAAAAATTAAGTATCTCCAGGTAACCAGGAAAAAACACATGGCAGCAGCGGGTCAGCCACAACACCCTGAGCAGAGCCAGGCTCCCAGGAGGTAGAGATGGAAAGAGCCAGCAGAGACGCCCAGCACTGGGCTCAGTTTGTGGGACCCTGTCGCTGAGGGAGGAGGGGAGAGGGATGTGATGCTGTGTGGAGGTGCCAAAGGGATGGTGGGATTGCCAGGGCACGCCGTGGCACCAGCTCCCCACACCCGCAGGCTTGGCTCCCTTGTCCAACGGAAACGGAGCCAAACCTCGGATCACAGATCACAGAATGGCTTGGGTTGGAAGAGACCTCCTTCCACCTGGGCTGCAGGGATGCCATGTCCCACCCAGGCAGGGATGGGATCCATCAGCCTTCCACAGGAGGCAGACCACAGGGCAAGATGGTGGGACAGACGTGGAAGGGCACAGCAATGCCAAGGACTCGCAAGGACAGGACTGGGATAAGAGGCAGCGAGGGCGCCGAGGGCACAGCACGTGGCTGAAGAAGCAGCAGCACGAGGTGCCACCACGTGTCCCCCACCCTGCAGCACATGCCCACCACCACGCTGTGCTGGGGACATGCTCCCAGGGACATGCACCCCAGCCCCTTGCTCCACAGACACACATGCACACTGTGGGATCACAGCCACGGACAGGCCTGATGGAGCAGATGGCTTTGGGATGCCCTCAGAACACATGCAGGGTGTCCTTGGAGCAGCAGGGAGTCCTTGGAGCAGCAGGGAAGGCGGGGCATGGGTGGGGACAGCACGTGGTGCAGATGCCATCTGGGTCTGGCACAGCTCCTGCTGGGTCTCTGTGGTTTGGGCTCCGCTTTTGTTAAACGCAGCCCCAACTTTCCCGTGCTCCTTGCTCCGCCTGTTCATGGGAAGAATGGCTTTTTAGGGAAGGAAAATCAGGTCTTGATCATAATTCCTTCCTGAGCTTCTGACCAACGCCAGTTCTGAAGATCCACCTGGATCCACCCCAACACCTGCTCGCTATGGATAACCAGCATTTGGCAGAGTTCCATCCAGGAAAACAGGATAAGATGAACTATCTCCAGGTAACCAGGAAAAAAGGTCTGGCAGCCATGGGTCAGCCACAACACCCTGAGCAGAGCCAGGTCCCCAGTCACCTGGCTCCTCAAACAAACCCTCACGGGTGCCCAGCCCACAGAGAAACTCCTCACTTCTTACTACAAAGCCAAGTCTGAGCTTTCACAGGCTGGGGAGGCAACAGCGCCGGAGAGACCGGGGAATGTGACTGTACCCCACGTTTGCTCTGTGGTGGGGAAAAGGCAGTGATGGCACGTCCTGTAGCTGCTGCTGTCTAGTCTGATAGACAAACCCTGAGTGCTGAGGAAGTTTTTACTCTGCTTGCAAAGTAATTGAAAAAAAAAACAACAGAAGAGTAAATACTTTTTGGGGCAATTTTACGTCAGACCTGAAGAAGCCCCATTTGAGAATGATTATTTCTGGTTATTTCTTCTTAAACCTAATTTTTTACAAGGTGTCAGAGTCCTGAATACCCCATAAAAACTGCAACAGGCACAAAGAAGATCCCAGAAGAGTGGCTAGAGAGGCTCTCACCATGCTTGTCCTGTCACCCAAAGCTCCTTGAGAGCCACACTGCCATAGCTAGCACTCAGTGGCACCTCAATAATGAAAGACAAAGTGTGGGGATCTGCTCCTTTCTGAGGAGAAAAAACAATTCCAGCTTTTCCCTCTGCCTCACAACTACAACAACGTGACCAGTATTCACCATGCATCCATTCCGTTGCACTACATCCAAAGAAATTCATCCAAGCGCCCCTTACTCAACCAGACTTGGAAAAACCAAGACCTTGTCACAAGAATTTCACTGTTGTAACAGATACTTTATTGAATATAGGTTGTTGTGTATGAACAGCTCCTCCACAGTGACCAAGCGAGCCCTAAAGCTTCCCGAGGCTTTGCAGGTCAGACTGAAGGCTCAAACCACGCAGCCCCTAAACTCTTCATGAGAAACTTATAATCAAATATAGATCCAAGAGAATGCAGCACCAGCCTTGACAGCACACCACAACTATCCCTGGGAAGGGAGCAAAGAGCACATCACTCACAACAGCAGCCACCTCCTGCTCCAAGCCTGACTTCCAAATGAATCAAGTGTAAGTGATCTCTGTGCTGACACAGTCAACGTCAGCACTGCAGCACATCCAAACCCCTCTGAGCAACAAATTCCTTCATAAAGCAGAATTTGTAACCTGACAGCTCCTAAAATCCACCTCATTATGCTGCCCTTCTGGAGCTTGGCTGTGTTAATAAAAGCAGCAGCACGGTCAGGGCTGGAGCCTCCCTGTCCTGCTGCCTCTGCAGGGGCAGCTCCACAGCCAGACACTGCCCCTGCCAAGGGCACCAACCACACGTGTGAGTCACCACACAGCTCCCATCTGACCAACGGCTCCTTTCTGGGTACACAGACAGGAAAATGATTGTCAGGGGTAAAATAATAACAGGGATCAGCACATCAGACTCACTCCACTCGACCTGCACCGGCGCCGACTAGGACAGCCCGACCCTACAGATCCCTGAGATGGACTCAATCCATAATAAATAACTGTCCTCAAGTACTCAATCCATAATAAATAACTGTAGCCAGAAATAACACAAGATTATGGTTTTGCTGTGTTATATATTCAATCCTGTATCAGACACTCATCTATCCATGACAAGAGCGTGTGAGTTCCCTGCCCGTACACTCTGCACAGACCGTGCCCACACTTCCCCACAGACATCACCAGAAATCAGGGACAGAGGAGGGCACACGAGGAGCAGGAGAAGGCAAGGAAACCTTACTGGGACACTAGACACAGTCAGGAACTATTTCATGTGTGACTTCTGCCTCTGATACAACACCTTCAACAGCATCCATGGAAAACTTGGGGGGAACTTGCTGGCAGCAAGGCAGAAAACAAGGCAGGTTTTTGCATTAATAGCCAATATCTGATGAGTAACATCAATCTCACCCAAAAAGTCTTGAACTCTTTGCTTCATTGTGGGGGTGGGGATGACAGGGAAAGCAATGCTGAGGTCACACAATTTCAGAAGGGAGACTTCTGGTTACAACCCTCCAAAGCCAACTTCCAAGGAATGTTTGAGGACAGATGTTTTTCCTGCCCAAACATGTGCAAACTGAACGAATCCAACACGGACCTACGAAGTGTCCACGAGGCTTGTCTGGAAATATTCTGAATGTTCCCAGACCTGACAGTAATGCACTGGGATCATGAAAAATGCTTGAAGACATATCATTGACAGAGCCAAGTTAAACTAATGATTCAAAGTATTAGTGATTTCCTTCCACAAACACCAAACAGCAAAACCTGCCACTGGATGAAGAAGCTCATTTCAGGAATTACTGCCCCTGAGCACCAAGGCCCTGTTCCCCAACACGAGTATCTCTGTCTGAGCACAGTAATGGCCACGTCTCACCCTCGTCTTGCCTTTGATCTCAGCCAATGTCAAGTATTTCAGAGAAAAGTAAAGAAGTTATACAGCAGAGAGCAAGAACGGAGCACTTTGGAGACAGGTGTGAAGTGATGGTTAAGTAATCACAGAGTCACAGAATGGTTTGGGTTGGAAGGGACCTTAAAGACCATCTTGTTCCAATTCCCTGCCATGGGCAGGAACACCTTCCACTAGCCCAGGTTGCTCCAAGCCCTGTCCAACCTGGCCTGGGACACTTCCAGGGATGGGGCAGCCACAGCTGCTCTGGGCAACATTTCTTCCTTAAAGCAGCTTTTTAAATGATTTTTTTTTATTTTCTAATGGAATTCAAAAAATATTTCCTCTTTAAAGTTGTGAAACGGAGACCAGAGTTAAATACCCGAACAAACTGCGAGGGCCAATGTTACATCATTCTTTCGGGTGAAAGCTGTGCCAGGGAGGTTGAATCTGGATTTGCAAGAGAGCCTTAAAGCACTCCAGTGTTTCTCCCTGCCATCTCTAGTGCCCAGCTTTGCATCCCTGTGGCAGATGAGCAGCTCCTTCTCAGGATACCCAGTCCCACTCCAAGCAAGCCAAGGATGGGGGGGGAAAGCAGAATGTGATTATGCATTGAGATACTCCATCATGACACGAGGCAATCAGAAAGCTAAATGAATGGCACAGAGGAAAACTTCAACTACTTTCCCAACTTCCCAAATTGTGAAAACTTTGAAACTTTCCTACCAAAGTTTCAAAAACTTTCCTCCACTACTGGGTGCGTGACTCGGGGGGTTAAAACATTCCTTCGAGATTTGTATTAAGTTTCTGTAAATGAAGGATTGAAAATTGGGGGATCTGTGAGCTCCTCATCGAAACTTTGTATTTAAAGCATCTGTGCTGACTTCCCACGTGTCAGCACAGGGCTGGGAATGTTGGGTGATGGCACAGCTACAGGATATGGCAGCAGGTCAGGAACTAGGGAGGTCAGGAATTCTACCAGCAGGTTTGACCCATTTGCTGTCTATTGAAGCAATATTCAGTCAGGAATAAAATGATTTCAGCTCTGTGATCTGCAAGGGATCTTTTGTGGGCACAGATCCCTCTCTGATGGTGCAGCACAGATCCCTCAGGTCCCTCTCGCTCCTTGGCTCACCTTTTGCTCAAGGAGTCGCCCCATTTATTTAATCTCATGTCATTTGTTTAATTGCCGCTGAGGGTCAAAGCACCCCACGACACAGTTGTCACAACTCAGGGCGAAAGAACCAACAGCCAGAAGAGCTGCAGCCAAGAGGGCCCTCAGGAAGTTAAACACCA